TTTCCGAACAGGGAGATTTCAAGATATGTGGACTTCGACTCTCAGAATTTCCCAGCCAGCAGAAGTACCACACATCTTAAAATTTGCTAAGGGTGAAAAATGCTGGTTCTGACTGACTCACTTAGGAATGTTGTGAAAACACCAAATCTGGCCAATTGTTTCTCCCAAGAGCATCAAGCTGCACAGAAATTGCAGTTGAAAAAACTGGCCAATGACAAAGAATGAGATGGGTAGCAATGTTTTAGCAGACACTTCCCTGGAGAAGATGTGTAGGGATTCGATATTCCCCAAACGGCGAATTTTGATCTCGTTAGTGTGATGATGAGATTCCCCCAGCCACCAAGAAGATCTGCTATGGTTAATTAACAGAATAACAGATTTGGAAGGGACCTTGAAGGTCTTGTAGTCCAACTCTCTGCTCAAGCAGAGAGGTTGGGGACCACTATACCAGTGGTCCCCAACCTTTCTGGTTTTGTGGACTGATGGCAGTGGCGGCAGCACCGGAGAGGGAATGATTTCACGCAAGCAACATGAATGTTCACGAGCGCAAATGGAGTTTCTGCACGGCCCATTTCCCAATAGGCCACAGCCAATTATTGGGCCACAGCCCACAGGTTGGGGACCCCTGCCCTCACCATTTTAGACAAATGATTGTCGAATCGCTTCTTAGTGGTTGAAATGCTAATAGTTGAAATGCACTGTGCAAACTATTTAGAGGCAGAAACCGGGTATAGCTAGTCTAACGAAGAGAAGGACTAGGGGTGTCATGATAGCAGTCTTCCAATATTTGAGGGGCTGCCCCAGAGAAGAGGGGGTCAACCTATTCTCCAAAGCACCCGAGGGCAGGACAAGAAGTAACGGATGGAAACTGATCAAACAGAGAGGCAACCTGGAATTAAGGAGAAATTTCCTGACAGCGAGAAGAATTAATCAATGGCTTGCCTTCAGACATTGTGAGTCTTCCATAGCTGGAAGTTTTAAAGAAGAGATTGGATAGTCATTTGTCTGAAATGGTATAGGGTCTCTTATTCAAGTGTGGGGGTTAGACTAGAAGACCTTAAAGTTCCCTTCCAAATGTATTATTTTGTACTCTGTATTCTATTCTGTATTTTAAAAAAAACAGGAAGACAGAGGTGAGAGGTGAGGTGAAAGCCATCATCATGAGAAAGCTACATGTAATTTACTCACGAGGAAGATCTCTATTTCCCCACTTAAAAGCTCTATTTACAAATATTGGCAGATAACATCTAACTCTGCCTTACACTCCTGTCCATGTAGTTAAAAAGAGCAATTAAAATAAGCCAGAGATTTGAATATTTAGTAGAACGGGGGTGTCCAACCTTTAAGATTTGGTAAATTGTGTATATGCTGGCTAAGGAATTCTGGGAGTTGAAGTCCACAAGTCTTAAAGTCCCAAGGTTGGACATCCTTGCAGTAGAATTTACTATCCGGTCATCAAACATTTTCTAGATATTTTCAATTACATCCGTTGATCACAAAGAGAATGCAGAACAGACCAAATACTGTATCAGTCAGGTTAAATGGACAATATATTGCATTCCTACATATCCACAATAAATATGGGTTGCTAGTGTCAACACAGCCTGAAAGGATATGAAATTGCTTATACAAAAAAGACATACAAAAGATTTTTAAAACCCTTTTCCTCATCTCACTGACAAAGCAAGAAATCAAACCAGCTTTGCCAATTGCTGGGATGATTTTGTACCATCTGGAAGCATTTATCTTTTAAATGAATGAGACTTGGTCGGCTGTTCAAGAAAGGGAGAGAGTGACTGCATCCTGCCTTCTTCCGAAAATTTATCCAGGGACTATCAGAAACTGCTTTCATTTCTGAATTGCTTTCTAGGAAGAGATGGGATGTAGTTAACCAAGCACAGAGACAGTAGTAGGTCTTTAAGAAAGTCAGAACAGAGGATGGACTTTCAATATGATGTGGTGGTGAAAATAAGAGGACCAGGGTTGAGAGATCCAGATTTAATCCCACAAACTATTATGGAAGCTCTATAATGACTTTGGGCCAGTCCCTCTCTCAAGCCCATGAGCCAGTGTGATGTAGTGGAGCAGATATTGGACAAAATAGGGGACATCTGGATTATGTTTCCTCCTGTAGAAGGCCAAGGAGATAACTTTGGAGAGGCAACACAACAGAAGCATGCTTTAAGGCCAAGACAGAAAATGTGAAGAAGATAAGACTTGCTCCTCCTTAATTCACTAGAGCAGGGGTCAGCAACCCGTGGCTCTGGAGCCGCATGTGGCTCTTTCATTCCTCTGCTGTGGCTCCCTGTTGCTGGTTGGCTCCATAATTGATAGGGCTTTCGGTTAGGACAGGTAGAGGAAAAAGGAAGCTGCACTAGGAGGAGACTCTATGATGGGGGAACTGGACTTACAGTTGGTTCCAGAATTGAACGGGGGACTTCCGGTTAGGACCTTTGTGGCTCTTTGAGTTTTTAAGGTTGCCGACCCCTGCATGAGAGCTGAAGATGTGTGGATTTCAACTCCCAGAATCCCTCAGCCAGTGCTGCTGGCTGAGGAATTCTGGGAGCTGAAGTCCACACATCTTCAAGTTGCCACGCTTGAGAGTCACTGCAATAGAGTATTAGAAGGAAGACGATGAAAGTTCAGTCAGGTTTTCAATCACTACTATCACTTACATCCATAAAGTGTAGTTTTAGTGAGCCTCGTGGAGTCTATTTCCTGTTCTGGTCTACCTGAAAAAGCTGACAACCTCTTCAGCCAAGGAAACTCTCTATGTGTTATGGAAGATAAACCTGGTCCTGGGAATAGGTGAACAACCATCAAGATAGGAGAAGATTCAGAAAAGACCAGTCAGAATCTCAAGGGAGAAGAAAGAAACTCAAAATTGACTCAGCCTTCCATCCTTCCGAGGTAGGTAAAATGAGGACCCGGTTTGTGGGGGCAATAAGCTGACTTTGTATATAAAAAAGAACACCGCTAAGCAGGTATATACAAAAGTATGAAGGCTATTGCTTAACGCATTGTAAGCCGCCCTGAGTATCCGGAGAAGGGCGGCATATAAATTGAACCAATAAAAATAAATAAAATATCCCTGCCTTGAGTTTGCTTGGTATAAAGATGTAGTAAAGAGAGCCTGTGACAGATTCCTAAGGTTCAGTTATAATTTCTACAAGAATAACAACAGCAATAGCATTTAGAGTAGACTTACATACCACTCCATAGTGCTTTATAGCACTCTCTAGGACAGGGGTGGGCAACTGTGGCCCTTTTACAACCTTTTACAATTCGGTGGACTACAACTCCCAGAATTCCTGAGCCAGCTTGGCTGTATCAGGAATTCTGGGAGTTGAAGTCCACAGGTTGTAAAAAGGCCACAGTTGCCCACCCCTGCTCTAGGAGGTTTACAATGTCAGCCTCTTGCCCCCAATAATCTAGGTCCTCATTTTATCAATCTCAGAAGGATGGGCGGCTGAGTTAACCTCGAGCCAGTTAGGATCGAACTTCTGGCTGTGAGCAGAGTTTGTCTGCAATACTCCATTCTAACCACTGCGCCACCATGGCTCCTAACAATAAAAGGCATTTTTGAAATTCCTGCTGCTGACATTTCCTACAGAAACAGTGTGGGTGAGATGGTGAAGATATAGAGATACCGAACTAGCTTTTAATGAGATTTGTTTTGGTCCCACCTTCATTATCTTATCAGTAATTCAAAGCAGTAAACATTCATAATATTCCTTCCCCTCCTCTTTTTCTATACAACAACAATCCTGTGAGGTGGGTTGGGATAAGAGAGAGGGACTGATGACCCATTCGACTGGCTTTCGTGCCTAAGGCGGTACTAGAATGCACAGTCTCTTGGTGATTGGCTCACAGTCACCCAGCTGGCTTTTATGCCTAAAGTGGGTTAAACAGTCTCCTGTTTAATTTCTAGACCAGTGGTGCTCAACCTGTGGATCGCGGACTCATGGGGCCCGCTATGTCATCGCAGGGAGTCCACGAAAGCTTGGAGAAATGTTATGATTTAAATTATTACATGTATTTATATGCCGCCATTCTCCCGAAGGACTCAGGGCGGCGAACACAAGTTAAGAAACAAGTACAATAAAATCATAATTTAATCCAAATAATTAATTAGTAGTAAATAATAAAGCCCAGAATCAGTCTCAGCCTATTTGTTTGAAAAGCCAAGTCTTCAAGTCCCGATGGAAGGAGCAGAGATCAGGAGCCGTCCGGAGCTCAGTAGGTAATTCATTCCAGAGGGTGGGAGCATCTTGAGTTAAGTCTTGGGGACCAGTGGCCATGGCCACAAAAGATATTTAAAGGACTCGGTGATAAATAAAAGGTTAAGAACACTGCTCTACCCAGTGGTGAAATGCAATTTTTTTTACTACCGGTTCTGTGGGCATGGCTTGGTGAGCGTGGTGTGGTGTGGCTTGGTGGGCGTGGCTTGGTGGGTGTGGCAGGGGAAGGATACTGCAAAATCTCCATTTCCTTCCCACTCTGGGGCCAGCCAGAAGTGGTATTTGCCGGTTCTCCAAACTACTCAACATTTCTGCTACCGGTTCTCCAAACTACTCAACATTTCTGCTACCGGTTCTCCAAACTACTCAACTTTTCTGCTACCGGTTCTCCAAACTACTCAAAATATCTGCTACCGGTTCTCCAGACTACTCAAAACTTCTACTACTGGTTCTCCAAACTACTCAAAACTTCCACTACTGTTTCTCTGAACTACTCAAAATTTCTGCTACCAGTTCTCCGAACTACTAAAAATTACCGGTTCTCCAGAACCTGTCAGAATCTGCTGGATTTCACCCGACTCTACCCCAAACTGGCTCTCTAGCGTGGGGGAGGCTAGGGTACGGCCCTTCTCTCTCAGCTCAACCTATTTCAGAGAGTAGTAGTTGTTGTTGTGGCAAGGATAACAGGACGATGTGGCTTTCAAAACATAAATAGAACACACAAGTAAGCGCACATGATGGCGTCAAGTTGGAACTTACATATTCCAGCATGGTATTTCAAAGCACTGACAGTGTGTTTATGTGCCTTGTAGGTCCTTATCCTCTCTCCAGTGTCAGTCAACCAACACTTCACTGTTTTGTCCGTGCTACCTGAATACAAGCATCGATTGACAAGCTGAGACAGACAAAAGAAAGAACAGAAAGTTAACGAAGGAAGATCACTGGAAGTCACAGTTACCCTTCCATCTGGTCTTCCTCTTCAGAAACTGAAGGGGATACAAACAGTAACAGCAATGTTGAAAGGGTAAAGTAGACCTTTGGAAGTACATTCTGTATGGAACCAAGTCCTAAAAGAGCTCAACAAATTAGGTAGGGAAGATGTTTGTTCACTGTTTGTGTAAGATGAAGCTAGTCCTTAAAGCTAGTGAAGCAGTGCTCCATAGGACCTGTGGATTTATTTGGTCCAAATCATGTTTTTATTAATTGCATTTAATTAAATTTACAGTGTACTGTTCCAATGACACTAAACATTATTTGAAAAATTATTCAGTCCACAACCCATGAATTCTGTAGATAAACTTCACATTCCCTCTTAATTTTATCAGCCAGATTCCTAAGTATGTGCATAGTCCTTCTTTCTATCATAAAATTCAAATCACACTTAGCTTCAGCAAGCACTCCATATTGTGTGCCATCAAATATTAACAGGTTAACAGAGTTGAAAGGGACCTTGTAGGTCATCTAGTCCAACCCCACCCGCTCTCCCAAGCAGGAGTCCCTATACCATTTCTGACAGATGGCAGTCCAGTCTCTTCTTGAAAGCCTCCAGTGATGAAGCTCCCACAGTGAGGAAAATTTGTGCAGACGTTAATAAAAATTTGGGTTAAAGCAAGTTCAATTGCTTTTTAGATTTTTCCTGTCAGTTATCTGTAGCAGTTTATGTACATTGCTTGGAACATTTTCAAATGCTCCACTGAATTATTATTACAATTGTCACCATTACTATCGCCTGTCGTTACTGAAAGATACAAATGGGAAGTTACAAAGATATGCTATCTGATGTTGAATAAGACATCTAGGCAGTCTCAGCATCAAACCATGTGAAGGCTGAGAGACTTTAAAAATATTAGAGAAGCCCCTTGAATCAGACCAATGATCTTCTATTACATGGGTGTCAAACTCTAGGCCTGTGGGCCGGATATGGCCCGCGGGGTCCTTAAATCTGGCCCACGGGGCTGTCCTGAAAACAGGAAAGAACTGGGCCACGGTGCCTCTGCCAGCGAAAACGGAGCTCGAGAGAGCCATGTGCGGCCTTCCCAGGCCCGTTCTCACTGGCAGAGGGCTAGTAAAACAAACTAAAAGCAAAACAAACTAAAAGGGAAATGTTTCCCCTTTTGCATTTGTGCATGCCAGAAGGGACAGGAAAGGAGAAAGGAGAAAGGGAAAGGAAGATGGGAAGAGAGCAAGGAAGCAAAAATAACGAAAGAGGGGAAGGAAGAAGAAAGGAGAAGGAAGAAGGAAGGAAAGAGAAGGGAAGGGAAGGGGAAGGGGAAGAGGAGAGGAGAGGAGAGGAGAGAGAGGAGAGGAGAGGAGAGGAGAGAGAAGGGAAGGGAAGGGAAGGAAGGAAGGGAAGGGGAAGGGAAAGGAAGGGAAGGAAGGGAAGGAAAGAGAAGGAAAGGGAAGGGAAGGGAAGAGAAGGGAAGGGAAGGGAAGGAAGGGAAGGGAAGGGAAGGGAAGGGAAGAGAAGAGAAGGGAAGGGAAGGAAGGGAAGGGAAGGAAAGGGAAGGAAGGGAAGAGAAGAGAAGAGAAGAGAAGAGAAGAGAGGGAGGGAGGGAGGGAGGAAGGAAGGAAGGAAGGAAGGAAGGAAGGAAGGAAGGAAGGAAGGAAGGAAGGAAGGAAGGAAGGAAGGAAGGAGATTATAATGAGAGTGAGGGAGGGCCTGAGGGAAGTCCTCCCTTAGCACATGGCCCCCACAGGTGCCCCTGATACAAGTGACTTTGAGCTGGCCATACCTACCCCGGCCTCCAGAGGTCAAACACAACCCTGATGTGGCCCTCAATGAAATCAAGTTTGACACCCCTGTTCTATTAGCACAGTATTTCTCAATCTGGACAGTTTGAAGATACGTGGACTTCAAGTCCCAGAAATCCCCAGCAAGCATGCTGGCTGGAGAATTCTGGGAGTTGAATTCCGTACATCTTCAAGCTGCCGAAATTAAGAAACATTCTGTATTATTGAGTTTGAAAAACACTGGTACATCTGAAATAAGAGGTGAAATATGCCGTGGTGGCACACTGGTTGGGATGTGGTATTGCAGGCTAATTCTGTTGACAGCCAGCAGTTTGATCCTGACCGGCTCAAGGTTGACTCAGCCTTCCATCCTTCCGAGGTCGGTAAAATGAGGACCCAGATTGTTGGGGGCAATAGGCTGACTCTGTAAACCGCTTAGAGAGGATAGTAAAGCATCATGAAGTGATGTATAAATTTAAGTGCAATTGCTAGTGTTAAAACAATCTCCACTTGTTGTACTTCTAATATAAAATTTTCTGGAATCTGGATTAAGGACAGATATTTCTGAATGGATCAGGAAAAGCAATTCAATTCAGACTAAAAGGTTTGAAGCAAGATCATCTATAAGTATTTACTTAATAACATTCAAAGGTGAAAAGCATAGGATCCGTTACAAATCCTTAGGACATGGTATATTCCACCATCAAGATCTACATTTTCAATTTATTTATTTATTTTATTTATTTAATTTAATTTGTATACCGCCCTTCTCCAACAGGACTCAGGGCGGTGAATAGCCATGGTAAAACATAACATATAAAATTTAAAAGCAATTTAAAAAACATTAAATAAATTTGGCTATCCATTTAAAACAACCCAGGTTAAAACCAATTACAAATTAAAATCGAAGGGATGGGATCAAGCCAGCCCAGCTAGGTGAAAAAGATGTGTTTTCAGGGCCCGACGAAAAGTCCGGAGGTCTGGTATCGTGCGTATCTCTGGAGGTAGGTCGTTCCATTTATTCCACCAATGTTTGTATATTGAAAATCTTCCCTCCTAGGCAATGTTTCTCAACTTTGGTAGCTTTAAGACATGCGGACTTCAGTTCCCAGAATTTCCCAGTCAAAATGCTGGTTGAGGAATTCTGGGAGCTGCTGTTCGTATTTATTAAAGCTGCCAAGATTGAAAATCACTTCTCTGCTTGCCTGGGTATTTACCCTGCCTGGGTAAATACCCAGAGAATTAATCAATATTCTCTTTCACAAAGCTTCCATCTGTTGCAAATCCATCACTCCATTCTCAAAAATCTTTTGAAGGAATGAATGTGATCCATTATTTTAATTTTTTTAAAAAAAATATCCATGCAATCTCCCACAACATTCATTTGGCTAATGGGATGGAAAAAGAACAGACCCTCAGGCTCAAAGTATCCTATATCACCAGACCAAGCATATTACAAGAAAACATATGCAGGTTCTTTGCTGTGTTTATGTCAAAATAAAATAAAGTGGTCAATCAAGAAAAAAAAACCACTTTATTTATTTATTCTCTTTCATTAGAAAGAGCAAGGATTTCCTTTCATCAACAAAAGCAAGGATTAATTTTCTAAGATTTGGAAGGGGCAGGAGAAGTGCTAGTCGGAAAAAAAATCTTTTTAACAATAGTTTTTCCAGTCCTTGTCTTACAACAGTTCCTTTAGTGACAGTTCGAAGTTACAACAGCACTGAGAAAGGTGACTTGTGACCGTTTTCCACACTTACGACTGTTGCAGGATCCCCCATGGTCATGTAATCAAAATCCAGACTTTGTCAACTGATTCATATTTATGACGATTGCAATGTCCCGGAGTCATATCAGAAGGTCATCTTTTGTGACCTTCTGACAAGCAAAGTCATTGGGGAGCTAGATACACTTAACAATCATCTTATTATCATAACAACTGCAGAGATTCACTTGGTAGCAAGAAAAGTCATAAAATGGGGCAAAACTCAGTTAACAAATGTCTCACTTAGCAATATAGATTTTGGGCTCAATTGTAGTTGTAAATCAAGGACTACCCTGTTTCTCCAAAATAAGACCTATCCCTATTAGGCTTACTATGTTTTTTACGTGTACGCCTAATATAAGCCCTACCCCACCCAAAGTAAGCCCTACTTAAGGGCCTGTGCAGGTGGCTGCCTGCCCATTTCGTCTAGTTGCTCGCGGTGCCATGGCCATGAGGCAAGGCAGGGGGGAGTGGGGCTGCCCGTGTCCTGCACTAGTTTACCTCAGGGCCCCTGCAGTCAGAGCATCCGTGTCCCAACACATGCCTTGCAATGGCAGCACCAACAGCCATTACAGCAGGAACCCATGTGGCCGCCAGCCCACTTCTTCTGCTTGCAGCCACAATGGACCAGGAGGCTGAGTGGTGTGCTGGTGCTGTGGCCATGAGGCAAGGCAGGTGTCGGGGCATGGATGATCTGGCTGTGGGGGCCTGGCTGTGAGGTAAGCCGGTGTAGGGCGTGTGGGACAGCTCCGCCCCATGACTTCACGGCGGCAGCATTGATGCACCACACAGCCTCTTGCCCTGCTGCAAGCTAGCAAAAGAATTGGGCCTCCCTTACTTGGAAACAAAATAAGACACCCTCCCCCAAAATAAGCCCTAGTGCAGTGATGGCTAACCTTTTTGCCATCACGTGCCAGGAGGGGGGGGGGCGGGGGAGGGTCATGTGCGCACGTGCCCACACGCATGTGTGCACAACCCCCTCCCCCTCCCCCCAGAGTTCCTGGCACATGATGGCCTGGTAGACCTGTTTTTCTTTCTTACCTGGTTCCAGATCCTCTCTGTGTATCTGGGAAGGGCGAAAACAGCCTTTCCCACTCCCTTGGAGGCCCTATGGAGGCTGAAAGGGCCCATTTCCCAACTCTCGGTGGGACAGGAAGTGACATTTTTTGCTGTCCCCAGCCTCCAGAACCTCTCTAGGAGTGTCTAGGAGCCTCTCTAGGAGTGTCTAGGAGCCTCTCTAGGAGTCTCTGGAGGCTAGGGACAGGAAAAAACGTCACTTCCTGTCCCACCGGGAGTCGGGAAATGGGCCCTTTCAGCCTCTGTAGGGCCTCCAAAGGAGTGGGAAAGGCTTTTTTCGCCCTTCCCAGATACACAGAGAGGATCTGGAGCCAGGTAAGAAAGAAAAACAGGCCTTCCCCAACCCCCCCAGGCCCTCCAGAGGCAGGAAACAGCCTGTTTCCCTACTTCTGGTGGGCCCAGAAGGCCCGAAAATCAGCTGGCCGGCGCATGCATGCACCCCAGAGCTGAGCTGGCATGCCCACTAATATGGCTCCGCGTGCCACCTGTGGCATGCGTGCCATAGGTTCGCCATCACGGCCCTAGTGCATACTTTGGGGCCCAAGAGAAAATAAGACCCGGTCTTATTTTTGAGGAAACATGGGGTACCTATATATTCAGTTTTAATAATGACTTTTGTAAAGCATGGCCAGAGAGATACAATTCCAATTTATAATCTGAAGATGGGTTAGTTGGTCTCCTCAGTTGGCTTTGAAAAATATTTTATTTGCTCTGAGCATGACACAGATTATAGAAAGCAAGGACAATTGGACTGAGAACCTGTTCCAAGTCCTTATAAAAGATCAAAATATTCCTGGAAAAAGCAGATGCTAATATTTTGCAGGTACGTCAAAGAAATAAGGAACACTGCGGATTCCCAGAATATTTTTTTTATTTTTATTTAAGTCTTTATTTATTGAAATTATTTATATAGCCGTCTGTCTTCTAACCACATGCTTCCTTCACACCCACCAGCAGAAAGCAATTGTCTGTATTTAGAGTACTCAGTTGCTGTAATAATCATTCTTATCAAGACTCATGGATTCTTTTCCCCAAAACTATCCATATTTCTATGGGCAACAATTCAGCCAACTGCTTTTCTAGGTACAGGGAATCATCAACTTACAACCATTTGCTTAGGGACCGTTCAAAATTCAAGTGAAAAAAGTAACAAATGACCAGTTATCGCACTTGTGATTGTTACAGCGTCCCTGTGGTCACATGATTGAAATTTGGGCTCTCAACAACTGGCATGGATTTATGATATTTGCAGGGTCCGGGGTTTACCTGATTTCCATTTGCGACTTCCTATCTGGCTTCTGATCAGCAAAGTCAACGAGGGAACCTGAATTTCTTTAATGACCATGTGCTTCACTTAACGACCACCTTGGTTAACAATGGAAATTCTGAACCCAATTGTGATTGTAAATTGGAAACTACCTGTACCAAAGCATTGCCATTTCTCAATTACCTTACATAGATATTAAGCACTTTCATTGGAATCTATGATTTGGCTTCAGTGCAGATATTATTGTTCAACCAATAAATAATAAAAACAATACAAATAAATAAAAGGACACATTGACATCTGTTGCTCTTACTCTTGTTCCCCAGAAATTCTCCAAGTTTCATGAGTATCCATCTCCAACACTAACTCCCCACACAAGATTGCTTCTAACGTCTTTCTAAAGCATAGTTTTCATAAACCATGGTTTCTTGAATATACCACAATATGTGGGTCCACAGATTACAGTCCTAAATCATGGGTCAGAATCCAAAATCCACTTTATGGATAATGGCAGTCAGTTAGTTTTCTTCTATTCACCATGGGATATGCTGGATTTTGACATTATACTCAGGTAGATATCTTATGGATTACAACTAGTCTCTCGTATCAGGAATATTTTTATCACTTTTACTTTTTAAAAACTATTTATCTTTTGTGCTTGTAATGCTGTAAGCCACCTAGAATTGCTTTGAAATGAGATGAGTGGCAAATAAATTGAATAAATCAGATAGATAGAGGATAGATGGATGGATGGATGGATGGATGGATGGATGGATGGATGGAAGATAGATAGATAGATAGATGTAGGTAAGCAGGTAGATAAGAGATAAGATAAGATAAGATAGATAGATAGATAGATAGATAGATAGATAGATAGATAGATAGATAGATGATAGATAGATAGATAGATAGATAGATAGATAGATAGATTTAGGTAAGCAGGTAGATAAGAGATAAGATAGATAGATAGATAGATAGATAGATAGATAGATAGATAGATAGATAGATAGATAGATAGATAGAGATAATGTAGATGATATAAAGATAGATAGATGTGATATAGATGGTAAGCAGACAGACAGACCCTACACAGATGTGTAGATAGATTAGATAGATAGAATGAACAGAACAGAACAGAACAAACAGAACAGAACAGAACAGAACAGAACAGAACAGAACAGATAGAACAGAATAGAATAGAATGAAATACAGTATATAGATAAACAGACAGATCTGTTAGGATGATGCTGTTTTGTTAAGAATCCTTTTCCAACTCTGTATGCCCAGCTCTTCTGTTGTTCCTTCTTCAAACCAGCTTCCTGTCCTGCATTTTTTCCTCCCCAAAAATATCAGTTGCACAAATGCCGCAAATTTCAATGCCACCTTTGGAAAAAACGCAGCCTCTCTTACCTCAAGGCAAATGATGGATCCTTGATGCTCTTTGAAGACTCTCAACTGTTCCCCTGTCACAATGTTCCAAGTCCGAATGGTGTAATCAGTGCTTCCCGAAAAGAGCTCTCTATTCGGAGCATCAAGTATAAGGCATAAGACAGCCCCAGTGTGTCCCAGCAGGGTCTGGTGGCAGCGCCCAGTGGATACCCACCAGACTTTGACAGTGCAGTCCGTGCTCCCCGTCACCAGGAAGTCTTGGCTTAGCTCTTCCACCTCTTCCACCTCCTCCTCCATCTCTTCCTCTTCAAGGACATCCTTCGAAGAGTAGAGCGCCAGGGCCAGGACGCAGTTGCGATGGCCCCGAAACTCCTGGATCGGTTTTTCCTTATCCACACTCCAGCAGCGTGCAGTCCTGTCGTAGGATCCACTGAAGAGGTAATCCTTGAAAACTAGGATTCTGTTGGGAGAAAAAAGCCACTCACCAAACTTCTCATCCTGGCATAACAGAGTAACAGGGAGGCAATACATTCCATTTCTGCAGAAAATTCATTTTGAAGATTAAGCTTTTCCACTCTAGCAGTCCCTCAACTTACAATCACAGTGGAGACCAGAATTTCCATTGCTAAGCAAGGCAATTGTTAAATGAATTGCACCCAATTTTATGACCCTTTTTAGTGAACCAAATGGTCGTTAAACAAATCCAGCTTTCACTATTGACTTTACTAGTTGGAAGCTGCCTGACAAGGTTGCAAATGATGATCACATGATCTGGGATGCTTTTGTGGTGTGGAGCAGGGGTGGGTTCTACTTACCTTTACTACTGGTTCGCAACGGGATCACTAGTTTGTTTTACTATCCCTCTGCCAGAGAAATGTGGCCTTCTCGAGCTCCGTTTTCGCTGGCAGAGGCACCGTGGCCCAATCCTTTCCTGTTTTCAGGACAGCCCCGTGGGCCAGATCTAAGGACCCCGTGGGCCATATCCGGCCCACAGGCCTAGAGTTTGACACCCATGTAATAGAAGATCATTGGTCTGATTCAAGGGGCTTCTCTAATATTTTTAAAGTCTCTCAGCCTTCACATGGTTTGATGCTGGGACTGCCTAGATGTCTTATTCAACATCAGATAGCATATCTTTGTAACTTCCCATTTGTATCTTTCAGTAACGACAGGCGATAGTAATGGTGACAATTGTAATAATAATTCAGTGGAGCATTTGAAAATGTTCCAAGCAATGTACATAAACTGCTACAGATAACTGACAGGAAAAATCTAAAAAGCAATTGAACTTGCTTTAACCCAAATTTTTATTAACGTCTGCACAAATTTTCCTCACTGTGGGAGCTTCATCACTGGAGGCTTTCAAGAAGAGACTGGACTGCCATCTGTCAGAAATGGTATAGGGACTCCTGCTTAGGAGAGCGGGTGGGGTTGGACTAGATGACCTACAAGGTCCCTTTCAACTCTGTTAACCTGTTAATATTTGATGGCACACAATATGGAGTGCTTGCTGAAGCTAAGTGTGATTTGAATTTTACGATAGAAAGAAGGACTATGCACATACTTAGGAATCTTTGGCTGATAAAATTAAGAGGGAATGTGAAGTTTATCTACGGAATTCATCGCTCGCATGGGTTGTGGACTGAAGAATTTTTCAAATAATGTTTAGTGTCGCCGAAACTGTACACTGTAAATTTAATCAAATGAAATTAATAGAAACATGATTTGGACCAAATAAATCCACAGGTCCTATGGAGCACTGCTTCACTAGCTTTAAGGACTAGCTTCATCTTACACAAACAGTGAGCAAACATCTTCCCTACCTAATTTGTTGAGCTCTTTTAGGACTTGGTTCCATACAGAATGTACTTTCAAAGGTCAACATTACCCTTTCAACATTGCTGTTACTGTTTGTATCCCCTTCAGTTTCTGAAGAGGAAGACCAGATGGAAGGGTAACTGTGACTTCCAGTGATCTTCCTTTGTTAACTTTCTGTTCCTTCTTTTGTCTATCTCAGCTTGTCAATCGATGCCTGTATTCAGGTAGCACGCAGGACTTCCCTGAGATTCTCCCTCACTCTCGTTATAATCTCCTTTCTTTCTTCCTTCCTTCCTTCCTTCCTTCCTTCCTTCCTTCCTTCCTTCCTTCCTTCCTTCCTTCCTTCCTTTTCCTTCCTTCTTCCTTCCCCTTCCTTCTTCCTTCTTCCTTTTCTTATTTTTCCTTTCTTGCTCTTTTCCCATCTTTCCTTCTTTTTCTTTGTCATTCCTCTTTCCCTTTCTCCTTTCCTGTCTCTTCCCAGCTCTGTTTTTGCTGGCAGAGGCACTGCCGGTCAGCCCTTTGCTATTTCCATGGCAGCCCCTGGGCTCAAGTTTGACACCCCTAACATAGAGACTGGAAGAGAGAGAGAGAGAAAGCAAGTCTAGGAAACATAAAATAATCATCCTTAATATTTTACCTATTCACAATCGATGTGTGTCCACGATAAATAGCAAGGCATCTTCCGGTCATCATATCCCATTTTCTGATAGTGTGATCTGCACTGCAGGTGAAAGCAACTTCATTTTCTAAGTGGCAAAATGTGATGTAGCTTTCATGGCCTAGAATGAACGAATAAACATACAGACAGACAGACAGATCAATCCTACTGCTATCGTTTCAATGGTGGATGATGTATGTAGGGTTGAACCAGGGGTGAGATTCTACCGGTTAGGACTGGTTCGGACGAACTGGTAGCTCCGACAATCAGCTGGGAGCAAACCGGTTCGCTCTGACGATCAGCTGGGCCTGCCCGCCTGCCCCTGTGCTTTACTTACCTTTATTTCCTTTGTTTGAAGCCCAGCTGATCAGTGCGGCAGAGTGGATTGCCGCGCCTCAGCTGTTTTACTCACCAGGGCTGCAGTAGAAGGCAGGTTTTAGAGCATAATACGTGCTCAGCAAACCGGTTGTTATACCAGTTGAATCCCACCACTGGGTTGAACTGTTGGGTTTCGCAACATAGAATAGGGTAGGGTAGGGTAGGGTAGGGTAGGGTAGGGTAGGGTAGAGTAGAATAGAATAGAATAGAATAGAATAGAATAGAATAGAATAGAATAAGAGTAGAGTAGAGTAGAGTAGAGTAGAGTAGAGTAGAGTAGAATAGAATAGAATAAGAGTAGAGTAGAATAAGAAGAGTCGAGTCGAGTCGAGTCGAGTCGAGTCGAGTCGAGTAGAGTAGAGTAGAGTAGAGTAGAACAGAACAAAATTGAATTCTTTATTGGCCAAGTGTGACTGGACACACAAGGTATTTGTCTTTGCTGCATATACTCTCAGTGTACATAAAGAAAAATAAAATACAAACATGCTAATAAACCCAGTAATGAAACATCTGCAGGAAAAGAATCAAGCATACTAAAATCTCTTTACATTGCAAAAATTTACAGATGATTTCCAGTGTACGCAATGTTTCTCAACTTTGGCCACTTTAAGATGGGTGGACCAATTCCTAGAATCACCCAGCCAGCCATCCTATCTTAAAATGCGCCAAGGTTGAGAAACACTGATTGTAGAGGGGAAAAATTGGGGTAGGAGAATAGATTCCTCCTCTGCAACGTCATCCCAGTTTAAATTCTACTTCAGGATTTCGGTCAGAAAAAGCTTCGGATTCCTTGCCACCACAGCCTCCCTGCCTGCAATGTCTATTTTAAAAGCTGGAGGCCCAAGGACTATCTCGTTTCTGGGCTAAAGATCATCACCACAGGGCAGAGATATAGCAGGGGGAAAAAGAGCATATTTGTGGTTGTGATTAAATCCATGGGGACGTGAACAAAAGTCTAAAGCAGACAAATTGCACTGTTTCTATGACACTATTGGCCCAGCTATATGGCATCCATGCTTATTTGCTAGATTTTTATCCCACCTTTATTACTTTATAAATAACTAAAAGGCAGCAAACATTCACAATATTCCTTCCTCTTCCTCTTTCCCCCATAATAACAACCCTGTGAAGTGGGCTGGCCTGAGAGAAAGGGACTGGCCTGAAGTCACCAAGTAGCCTTTCATGCTTAAGGCAGGACTAGAACTCACAATCTCCTGGTGATTGGCCCAAAGTCACCTAGCTGGCTTTCATGCCTAAGGCGGGACTAGAACTCACAATCTCCTGGTGATTGGCCCAAAGTCACCTAGCTGGCTTTCATGCCTAAGGCGGGACTAGAACTCACAATCTCCTGGTGATTGGCCCAAAGTCACCTAGCTGGCTTTCATGCCTAAGGCGGGACTAGAACTCACAATCTCCTGGTGATTGGCCCAAAGTCACCTAGCTGGCTTTCATGCCTAAGGCGAAACAATCTTCTGGTTTCTAGGCCAGAATCTGAATCCCCACACCAAACTGACTCTCCATATCCATCTTCTTCATACATCTGGACAAATTGGAAGAGTTTATGTGCCAGAGGTAGATGACCTTGATTACAGGTAGTCCTCAACTTACAACCACAATTGATCCCAACATTTCTGTTGCTAAGCGTGACCGTTCTTAAATGGGTTTTGACCAGTGGTGAAATCCAAATTTTTTTACTACCGGTTCTGTGGATGTGGCTTGGTGGGAGTAGCAGGAGAAGGATACTGCAAAATCCCCATTCTCTCCCCACTCCTGGGGGAAGGATACTGCAAAATCTCCACTCCCACCCCACTCCAGGGGAAGGATACTACAAAATCCCCATTCCCTCCCTACTCCTGGAGGAAGGATACTACAAAATCTCCATTCCCACCCCACTCTGGGGCCAGCCAGAGGTGGTATTTGCCGGTTCTCTGAACTACTCAAAATTTCCGCTACCAGTTCTCCAGAACCTGTCAGAACCTGCTGGATTTCACCCCTGGTTTTGACCCACTTTGCGACCTTTTTAGCCATAGTTGTTACGTGAATCACTTCAGTTCTTAAGTTAGTAACACAATTTTTAGATGAATCTGGCTTCCCCACTGACTTTGCTTGTCAAAGGTGAGTACATGACCTCAGTTCACTGCAAACGACATAAATACCTGCCAATTGCCAAATACCTGGATTTTAATCATGTGAGTATGGGGATATTACAATAGTAGCACATGGGAAAAATAATCAAGCCACTTTTTTCAGTTCCATTTTACCTTCGAACAGTCACTAAATGTATGGTTGTAAGTTGAAGACAACCTGTATAGCAGCAATGGGTGCACTGTTGGGAGACATGAATAGCCCAGGCTGGAGAATGGGTCATTTTGAAGAAGATCATCAAGAGTCAACATCAACTTCATGGCACGTTAGTCAATCAACCAGCTGCAAAGACCCAGCTCCCTTAGATAGATTTATATAGTGCAGGGGTCTGCAACCTTAAACACTTAAAGAGCCATTTGGACCCGTTTCCCACAGAAAAGAAAACACCGGGAGCCACAAAACCCTTCCCGTGCCTGACTATTTCTTGAGCAGCCACAAAGCTAGCATATGTAGTTCTGTTTTCTTCTGAAACTTTTCTTTTCTTGGATTTATTCATGGTTGGCCTACCAGGGGTTGAAAAGCTCAATAAATCGTATGCTGGCGGGTGTCGTACATTGGCGGTTGTGACGTATATTTTGAGTGACAGGGAGCCGCAGCAGAGGGGTGAAAGAGCCACATGCAGCTCCAGAGCCACAGGTTGCTGACCCCTGATATAGTGAAATGTATAATATTGGACAAGGTGGGAAGAAAGAGAAGAGGATGGCCAACAGCAACATGGACAAACTAAATTCCAACAGAAATGGGTCCACCATTGGAAGTTCTGAAGGACCAGATTGGAGATAGTTCACCCTGGACACCCTGGAGAACGTCCATTTCTGTAAGTTGCTGAGGGGTCAATATTGACTAGATGGTCCATAATCAATTTTGTATTCCGGAACCAAAGGACAAATTTTAGACCAGAAAACCTCTATGGTCCCTTTCAACTCTGCTGTAATTCTGTAACTTGCCTACCTTGAAAATGGGCCTGACATTCGTTGTTGGCAGTGCTCCAGAGTCGTGCCGTCCCATCTTCACTGCCCGTTAACAGCCACTGCCCGTCTGGACTCAGGCTGATCCAGTTGATGCCCCCTTGGTGATCAGTGCAAATTTTGAGGGCTGAAGAACTGCTCCCCATTCTGCCACAAGGCAGGGGCTGGAATGGGGACACCCATCAAGTCCAGATCATCTTAAGATCAGGAGAAAGCCTTACAAAAACAAACATCGTTAAATCCGATTAAGCCATCTTCTGGGGTAAAGAATCAGCCGATGCTTTCTGTTACGAACACATAACATTCAAAGGATACATTTTCCTAAATTACTCAGGCGCTCAACTGCATTTCCTTAGCCAGAAATGTACATTCATCAAACAAAGCACATATTACTCCTTAAGTACACCGTGAAACTGACTTTGAAAAATGTCAGGAGGCTTCCGCTGATTCAGAACATTATAGGGAGGAATATTGACCAAAACCTACTAAAATGCTGACATTGTCCTCAATTTTTTTAACAGAAAATGAGGGCTTTGTTTGTTCGTTTTGTGTGAGAGGGAAGCAAAAAATACAGGAAGTCCTCGATTTAGTATAATTCTAGTTGCTGCTTACCTTTACAGTTCAAAATAATCCTGGGCAAGATCACTGTTTCTCCCAAATGAATCCGTCCATGATTTAAAATCTACAAATGAGAACAGTCTCTGGGATCATATGGGTAGTTCTTGACTTATGATCATTTGTTTGATGAATGCTATGACGGAACCCTCCTCAAAATACATAGGAGCAGGGGTGGGTCCTACTTACCTTTACGAGCGGTTCGCAACGGGATCACGTGCGCACGCTTCGCTCACACACGCGCCTTGCCTCTGCGCAGATCGCTTCTAATGACGTCAGGGTCAGTGGGCGGAGTCTCCCGCCAGTTTTACTACCAGTTCTATAGAACCGGTCCGAACCGGGGGCAACCCACCATTGCATAGGACCCAAAGTTTCCAAAGTTCTGATGTCCAACACCTCCTCTACAGTCACGTGATCATATTTTTGTTGCTTAGCAAGTGTACTGCAGTCACAAGACTGTGATTTACAACTTTTTTTTTTTTCAGAAGACAGTATCTGGCAAAACATGCCCCACAGCAAATAAACTGATTGACTTAATAATCACAACATCCACTTAACAACTACTGCCTTTATTTTATGACCAGTGTTCTCTTAATGACTACCACATAAAAGGTTTAAAATCGCATCCAGTCACTGCTCAATGACAGTAATGATTTACAAGTATGACTGCAGGACTCAAATTCAGTTGTAACTCAAGGACTACCTGTGTATCTTTTAAAAAATAAGTGTGTTTGTTTACCAGGGAAAATGTTTTCCTTACTTTAGGAATTTAATTCCTTATATGTTCTTCCACCATCAATAAGCATACATCAGGGCAAGAATATCTTATTTCAGTTTACAGCAGGGTGGATTTGATTTAAATCGAGTTGATTTAAATCACAATTTAAATCATGATTTAAATCACTAGTAAAAAGGCTTGATTTAAATCAACTCGATTTAAATCATAATTTTTAAAGAGCAACTGTTATCTCTGCTACTCTTTTGACCCACTGTTGACTCACCGATAGTCCCAGTGTTGCAGAATATACAGCCTCATGCTACATAACTAAGCTCCATTTCATGCTGAATAAACAAATTACTTATGTATCTTAAATAGAAAACTATCTTACGATAGATTTTTACCCCCAAAGTTTTTTATTAAAATAAATTCAATAAAAATAAAAAAAACCCGATTTAAATTTAAAAAAATCTGATTTTTTTAAAAAAATCATTGATTTTTATCCACCCTGGTTTACAAATCAATTCTGGTAATCCAAAGGTCTGTAAAAATGGAGATCTGTAAAAATATTGCCCTGCTACAGTGGTGCTATTCAGCCGGTTCTATCCGGTTCGAGCAAACCGGTAGCGGTGGCTGCGGGAGGCTCCACCCACCCGCCTGGATGTCATCAGTCCCATTTTTAATGCTCTGAGCATGCGCAGAGGTGGCGCACATGAGCAAAGCAAGCGCGATCACATTTGCAAACCAGTAGCGAAGGTAAGTGAATACCTCCACTGCCCTGCTAAATTTAAGCAAGAAATCCCATCCAATATTGTTTGAGGCACCCTGATGATAAGCCAACATCTGAAAGTAGGGAAAGGAATGTTACGATTTTGATTAAAAGTTTATATAGGTAGTTCTCGAGTTATTATGGTAGTTGAGCCTGGCAATTAAAGTCATGTCAGCTGTAAAATGACTCACCACTTTTTACCACCTTTTTCACAGTAGTCATTAAGCAAACCCATTGTTCCCTATTGGGAGTTTTTTTTTTTCTGGGAACTGGAAGTAAATGCCAGTTTCCAACAAAATCGTCATAAATCATGGTCGTGTGTTGTGAGCTGTTGCAAAAGGCCATAAATGTGGGTCAGTTGCCAAGGAACCAGAATGTGGCCATGTGATTGCAGGAGGGGGAGGACAGGTTGGAAACCCAGAATGTATTTAGGTGGGGTCCACCATAACGTTTTTTATTTGTTTTTTTTGCTTTAATTTATATGCCGCCCTTCCCCGGAGACTCAGGGCGGCTTACAATGCGTTAAGCAATAGCCTTCATACTTTTGTATATTTATACAAAGTCAGCTTATGGCCCCCACAATCTGGGTCCACATTTTACCTACCTTTGAAAGGATGGAAGGCTGAGTCAACCTTGAGCCTGGTGGGATTTGAACTTGCAGTAATTGCAAGCAGCAGATGTTAATAACAGTGCTTTAGTCCATTGTACTACATTGAATGGTCATGAAGCAATCAGTCATAAATTGAGAATATCTGTAGTTTCATCTAAAGCACAGGTGTCAAACTCGCTGCATCACGCTGCTGTCACATGATGTTCCGCGATGTTTTTCCCATTCGCAGAGCTGGGGTGGGCGTGGCCTGCGTGTGATGCATCTGGCCCGCGGGAAACCAGTTTGACACCCCTGATCCAGTGGTGGATTGCTACCGGTTCGCACCAGATTGTGCGAACCTGTAGCAGCGGTGGCAGGAAGCTCCACCCACCCACCCGGATACCTCTGTGCATGTGCAGAAGCGCTGTGTGCACACACAAGCATGCACAAGCGAACCAGTAGCGATGAGATTTGGAACCCGCCTGCCCTGATCTACAGCTTCTTGAACACACAGGGGCTGTTATCAGTCATAAATGTCTAAAAGCAACTTGCTAGGAAAGGTCAACAATGACTTGATGGCACATAATCAATCAATTTGACTCTAAAAGCATTATTCTAGTGAAAAAAGAACCAAAGAATACCAAATTCTGTAAGCAGAAAAGAAATAGCAAATGTTAAATATGTCATTAATCGCCATGCATTCATTCTGGTACAAACTGGTACAAACATCCAGATTTTCAAGACATTTGGAATTCATTGATCCAATTTAAAAGAAGAGAGAAGCAAAAAAATACAGGAAGTCCTCGATTTATGACCAAAATTGGGACCTGAACTCCTGTCAACAAGAGAGGCAGTTGTTAAATTGCATTCAATGTTATGATATTTTTTTCATTGTGGTGGTCATTAAGTGAATCACTTAGATGAATCACATGGTTGTTGAACAACTCTGGCTTCCCCCATTGACTTTGCTTCTCAGAGGTTGGCTGGAAAAATGGCAATCATGTGTGTCCCCCCCCCCCCAGGTCACTGGAGCCGTCATAAACACATGCCAACTACAAATGCCAAAATTTTCATATGTGACCATGGGAATCCCATGACAGTCATAAGTGCAAGAACTAGTTGTAAATATCTCTTTTCAGTGCAGTTGTAACTTCAAATGGTCACTAGATGAATGGTTGGTCGTAAGTTGAGGACTATCTGTAATGCTGCCAAATGAATGCAGGATATATGAAAACGGAGCTATTCCATATTAAAAATGCTAATAGTAATTGCAGCAGCAATAGCACTTATTGCTATTCATAGTGCTTGACAGTGCTCTCTAAGCGGTTTACAGAGTCAGCCTATGGCCCCCAACAATTTGGGTCCTCATTTTACCCACCTCGGAAGGATGGCAGGCTGAGTCAACCTTGAGCTGGTCAAGATCGAACTGCTGGCAGTGGGCAGAGTTTGCCTTAAATGCTGCATACTAACCATTGTGCCACCATACTGTACAAATCACACAACTACATTGGCAATAAATCTCACAGCAGTGATAGCAGGTATTCGTGTTGTTAGTGGAGAAAGCTGTTCAGATATGCTGGACTGATTCCCTGCATTAAGCTACTTGAAGCATTAATGCTTTGCTTTTATAAGGTTTCTAAATGTTTTTTTAAAAAATATAGATAATTTTTAGATACTTATTGTTTTAGTTTTGTTTTACGTCGTCCAGAGTCCCTTAATCAGTCTGTTGAGCAGCTACGTGAATAGACAAATAAATAAATAAAATAAGTGAACTAAACTCCGGAGTTGCAAAACATCTGGGGCAATTCCCATACCACTATTCTAACTGAAAGGTGATACAACCATTCACCTCTGGATCAACTCTTCAATTGCGTAAACATTTCTTCCTAAGACAGCAAGAAATATTCAAATAACACAACATAAAGTATTAGGCACCTACAATTCATGGGAAGTCAGCAAGTGGTCAATCTGGGTTTTTAAGAGACTTTTCGATATGAATGTGATTAGGAGACATTTCCTGGACACATCTGCTTTTTGCATCCTAAAAGCATACACAGATCTTGCATTGAGCAGTTTTATACTGCTCCACTCAAACCGCTTAAAAAAAAAAAATCTCCAAAACAATGTCTCTCTATAAAAGAATCATCAAAAATAATTATACAATCTGCTGATTACAGATAGTCCTCAGCTTATGCCGCAATTGAGACCAGAATTTCCATTGCTAATCAAAGCAGTTGTTATATGTGAATTATCATCGATTTCATGACCTTTTTTGCCATGGTTGTTAAGCGAATCACTGCAGCTGTTAAATGAATCAAGTAGTTAAGTAAATCTGGTTTCCCCTACAGAGTTTGCTTGTTGGAAGCCAGCTGGGAAGGTTGCAAATGGAGATCACCTGACCGCAGGACACTGCAACTGTCATAAGTACATGCCAGTTGCCAACTGCTCAAATGTTGGTCACTTGACCATGGGGATGCTGTGTCCATTCTAAATGCAAGGACCAGTTTTAAGTCACTTTTTCCAGCATCATTAAATTAATAGTAATAAGCAGTTGTGAAATCTAAAATTTGTTACTACCGGTTCTGTGGGCGTGGCTTGGTGGTGGTGGGGGTAATGTGGCTGGGTGGGCATGGCCATTTTTTGTTTTTTTTACTTTTAAAACCATTTTTTCTACAACCTCTTCAACGCTCTCTACATGGGGCTCCCCTTGAGGAGCACCCGGAGGCTCCAACTGGCACAGAGTGCGGCCGCACGGGTGGTTACGGGAGCAACATGGTGCTTCCGTGTGACACCTCTCCTGCGCGAGCTGCACTGGCTCCCGGTAGTCTTCCGGGTGCGCTTCAAGGTTTTGGTTACCACTTTTAGAGCGCTCCATGGCTTAGGACCTGGTTATTTACGGGACCGCCTACTACCACAAGCAGCCTCCCACCGGCCGGTACGCTCTCATAGAGAGGGGCTCCTCCAGGTGCCGTCAGCTAAACAATGTCGACT